TAATTAAATTCAGAATGAGAGAAAAGTTATGTGCAGTATATTAGCCTTGTATTTTCTTGTTTAAGACTTAATCAATGTTCTCCTTAAGTGATATCTGAGATATAGAATCTCTTTTGTACCCTAAAATAAAATTTACAATCCATTCAGCACTAGCAATATGAGGCTGTCTGCTCCCGGGAAGATTTACAACCTCAGAAAACATGTGTAAGGTCTCTGAATGGACCCAATAGCCATATGGTTTGTTTTGTTTTGTTTTTGTTTGTTTGTGTATACCAAACCATGGCCAACATTACTTTCAATGGAGAGTAACTGAAAGCATTCCCCATGCAAATGGAACTAGATAAGCATGCCCTTTGTTATCACTCCTATTCACTATTGTGCTGGAAATCTCAGCCAAGGATAAAAGGCAAGAAAGGCACCCAAATTGGCAAAGAAGAAGTACAGATCTCTCTACTTGCAGATTATATCATCCTATACATAGAAAAACCCCAAAGACTTGGCAAGAGGATTGGTAAATTTTTAAAGATTCAGGAAATCAGCAGGGTACAATGTAACAAGAGAATCTGCTGAATTTTGAAAGATTCAGCAAGGTGGCAGGGTGCAAGATCAACATACAAAAAAAAAAACCAAACAAACAAACAAACAAACAAAATATCATATCATTGTTTTATGACAACAAAGAGATCTCTGAAAAGGAAATCAGAAAAATTATATCAGTAGTCATTCAAAAGCTTAAATAGTTAGAAGGAAATGTAGCCAGAGAAACAAAAGACCTGTATTAGGAAAACTTTAAAACACTACTACAAGAAACCCAAAGAGAACTAAGTACAGTAAATGGAAGAATATATCACCCCATGGATAGGAAAATTTAACACTGTGAAAATGTCAATGTCCCACAAAGCAATCTACAGATATTATGCAATCCCAACCTAGATTCTGACATTCTTCTTTGAAATTTCTAAACTCACTTCCATATAGTGAATTCTGACTCATGGGGACCCTATAAGACTGGGTAGCACTGCTCCTGTGATTTTCTGAGAATGAAACTCTTTACAAGAATGGAAAGCCATTTTTCTCCCTGGGAGCAGCTAGTGATTTCAAACTGCTCACCTTGCAGATCTCAGCCCATTGCATACCCACTATGCCACCAGGGGTCCTTCCTTCTTTAAAGAGAAGGAGAAAATAATCACCAACTTCATATGTAAAGGAAAAAGACATCAGGTAAGCACACTACTAAAGAAGAACTCCCCAATCTCAAAACCTCCTACAGAATTACAGCAGTCCGTACAGCCTGTTACTAATACAATAGGTACATAGACCAATGGAACAGAATTGAGAATCCAGAATTAAATCACCCAATTACAGACAGCTGATATTTGACAAAGATCACAAGAAACAATGCTGGAAAAACTGGATTTCCATTTGAAAAATGAAACATATTTCACACCATATAAAAAATGATTCCAAGATGGATCAGAGATCTAAATGTAAAACCTAGAACTAAAAATATTATCAATGAGGGGACTTCAGGAAGAGGGCACCCAGAAAGAATCTGCCTAGAATTCTCCCTGCCCAAGTCAAAGACCCACAGGTAGGGACTGGAATTCTGGGAATTCAGATGTGCAACCTGAATTCCCAGTATTTCAGGAATATTTTGGGTTCCCTCCCTGATAAATCACTTCTAGATAATGCCTCAGATCTCAGCATAGCAGTGAGTCCCTGGGGCTCCCTATCTCCTAGTTCAGTGACCTGCCAGTGTGAGGGTCTGTCCTCCTCCTGATCATCCCCTAATTAGAACCCTGTTGCACCTAGTGTCCCCATCCCCATCTCTCACTGACCCCTGGGAGCCCTGTGTGGAGGCTGGAGCTTGCTGGGGATAAAGCAGAATCTCCATAGCTCCACACTATCACCTGATCCATTTTCCCTATCCTTAACAGAACTTGGCTCCAATGGAAACTCCCAGCTAACTCAACTGGTCTCACCCAGAATCTAACAGACAGGGATCCTGCTGGGTAAATCAGATGCACAACCTGAACTCAGTGTCCAAAAATATTCTTGAGTCTTTCCTTTTTTCTTTTGTAAAACAAAACGAAACACAAAACTCTTTTTCCACCCAAGAACCTAGAACTCAATATTTCAATGAGTCTTAGTGGTTCCCCCTCCCCCAGTTTGGTGACTCACCAGTGCTAGGACTTACAGACATGCTCACAACCTCCACTATGTCCTATTCATGCTATCCACTCAATGCTATCATTCCTTCCTCATCTCCACACAATATGATTTCTAGCTCCTAACTTCTTTCTCTTCTAACCCAAAGAGTCACCCCCTCCTATACAACCCAGAGTCCTGCACACCATCTACAACTGGACCACTATGCCACACAAACAACAGCCAACAGCAGTAACCACAAAAATGCCAAAAGTCAACAACTGGAGATTACCCAAATCCAATGGAATACACAGAAAAGGAAACACATGAACAGCCAGAAAGAGAATACAGGAGAAGGATGGTTATGACCATACAAGAGATCTTGGGGGTAAATCTTCAAAATTTAGGAAGAAATTGAGATACTGAGAACCTCACACCCAAATAAACCCAGAAATTAAGCAAAGAGATAAGAAAGATAAAAACTTGGTACAAGAACTGAACAATAGAATGGAAGAAAAGAAAAATAGAATCAGTGAACTCTAAGCCAAAAACAGACTTCGGTAAATGAGAGAAACAATGAAGCAAAGAAAATCTGAAGATAGTCTGAGGATAATGTAGGATGCCATGAAGAGAAATAATATACATCTCATTGGAATACCAGAATAGGAAGAAACAAACAAGTCTACAGATAAAATAGAAAAGGCATTGATGGAAGAAAATCTCCTCAATATCACAACATAGGAGACACTAACTATCTTGGAAGCAGCGAGAACATCAAATAGATTAAATGCTGAAACAAACAAAGAAACACATCAAGCTATATACTAGTCAAATTATCCAACTTCAAGAAAAAGGAAAGAATCCTAAGAGCAGTTAAAGAGAAAAACACAGCCACCTACAAAGGTATATAGATAAGAATAAGCTCAGATCTCTGCAGAAACCATGCAGGAAAGGAGAAAATAGAGCAACATATTCTAAGCATTCAAATACAAAATTTGCCAACCAAGAATTCTACATCCAGCAAAGCTATCCAGCAAATAAGACCGAAAAAAAAAAATTCTCAAAAAAGAAATTTTTATAGAATTTGTGGAACCAAAACCAGCATTACAAAAAATATTAGCTGTATCATTATGGTGAGAAAATCAACAACTGAAGCACACAAACTTGACACCATTCAGAAGTTAATACAGTGAAAACAATTACACAAAACAACACAGGTTTAGAGTGGAAACCAAGAGATAAATAAACTCTCCACAGCCCCCCCCCCAAAAAAAAGAGTAAGGAAAATGACAGTAATTAATCTACATTTAGAATTAACAGCATTGAATGTCAATGGAATAAATGCACCAATCAAAAGACAGAGTAGTAGACCAGATTAGGGAACAAGATCCATCAATCTGCCTTCAAGAGACACAAACAAAATTCACAGACAAAAACACACTGAGAGTCAGAGGATTGTGGAAAATTTACCAAGTTAATGGCAATTAAAAAAAATTTAAGGAGTGGCAATATTAATCTCAGACAAAATAGTCTTCAAAGTACATGACATAGTGAGACGCAAGAATGAACATTACCAACAAGTGCAGGGAAGAAGAAAACGTTCTAAAATTAATTGTGGTAAAGATTGTACAACTCTTCTTGCTATGATTGAACTATTGGATTGTTTGATATGTGGATGAAGTGCCAATCAAACTGTTAAAAAAATAGAACATTGCAGAATGATCAAAGGATCAACAGACCAGGAACATACAACCATAATAAACATATGTGTGCCCAACAAAAGACCATCAAAATATGTCAACCAGATGCTCAAAGAGATTAAAAGAGAAAACACCAGATCCACAATCATAGTAGGAGATGTTAATACAACACTTTCAAGGAAAGATAGAAATGAATTCCATAAAGAAACCAACAAGCTGACCAACACAATCAAAGAACTTGACCTTCTAGACATTTACATAGTTCTCCAAACAATAGCAAAAATTAAATAAAACAATACCCTGTTTCCCTGAAAATTAGACCGTGTCTTATATTAATTTTTGTTCCCAAAGATGCGCTAGGTCTTATTTTCAGGGGATGTCTTATTTTTCCATGAAGAAGAATACAGTACACATTTATTGTTTATTGTTTTATTGAAAGAGACCTCGCATTTCCTGTCTGCCCTGGCTGCGCTGCGGCCAACAGTGAGCTGTGCGGCAGTGCCTGTTGCAACAGTCCAGAGTCCAGAGTTACGGTAACTTCTGGGGGCCTTATTTTCTGGGAGGTCTTATTTTGGGGGAGATGTCTTATATTTCAGCGAGAGGCAAAATTGTAGGTAGGTCTTATTTTCAGGGGATGTCTTACTTTTGGGGAAACAGGATAAAAACACGTGTGCTTCTCCGATGCACACGGCACATATTCTAAAATCGACCAAGTTTTAGGCCATAGAGCAAGCCTTAACAAATTAAAACACATAGAGATCATTCAAACCATCTCCTCAGACCATAGTGCAGTGAAACTGGAAATCAACAATAGAAAAGATGAAAACATAACGACAAACACATGGAGACTCAACAACCCATTACCTAAACAAGACCAGATATTAGTCCAAATTAGGATGCCCCTGGAAACCAATGAGAATAATAATGCAACATGCCAAAATCCATAGGAAACAGTACAAACAGTTATCAGAGGTCAGTTGATAGTAATTAATGCTATAATACACATCACATTTTTCACAAAGGAGAAAATCATTTTCTACACAATACTTCCAACAATTATAACATAGTCAACAGCATAAATGCTCAAACAGAAGAAAATAAATCATAAAAAGTACAGCACAGCGGCGGCATGTGGATGTATCGTTTTGGGACCGGAACAATGGAAGAGCTGAGTCAAGCCCTGGCCAGCAGGTTCTCTGTGTCCCAAGATTTGAACAGCACTGCGGCCCCCCACCCCTGCCTGTCCCAGTACAAGTCCAAGTACAGCAACTTGGAGCAGGGTGAGCCGGCCGCTGGTTTCTGGAACTGCAGAAACCCAAGTGCCTGGACTTTGTGAACCATGCCAGAGGCTGGCTGAAGATGACTGGGCCAGGATGGAGAGTGAGGAGGAGGAAGAGAAGAAAGATGATGAAGAAATGGACGTTGACATTGGTAAGAAACTACCAAAGCGCTATGCCAATCAATTGATGCTCTCTGAGTGGCTGATAGATGTCCCTGCAGACCTGGGCCAGGAGTGGATTGTGGTTGTGTGCCCTGTTGGAAAAAGGGCCCTCATCGTGGCCTACAGGGGTTCTACCAGCGCCTACACCAAGAGCGGTGACTGTGTCAACAGGTTCCCGTCCCTCCTGCCAGGAGGCAACAGGCGGAACTCAGCCACAGCCAAAGACTACACCATTCTGGACTGCATTTACAGTGAGGTGAACCAGACCTACTACGTTCTGGATGTGATGTGCTGGCGGGGACACCCTGTTTATGACTGTCAGACCAATTTCCGGTTCTACTGGATGCATTCCAAGTTACCCGAAGAAGGCAGCCTGGGAGAGAAAATGAAGCTCAATCTTTTTAAATCCGTGGGGTTCAACAACTTCCCTTGCACCCCCGAGAGCCTGTGCAAGGTGCTGGCCATGGACTTCCCTTTTGAGATGGAGAAACTGAGGCCCAGAGACTTCCACTGCCAGGTCGCCTTCATGTACCTCTTATGGCTACAAGTGTGACACCCAGGCTCTTGATTACCTCGCCTGCCTATAAAGTGGGCCTTCTATACCTGAACCCCTAACCCTTTCTTCCCTGCCTGTCGAGCACCGAGATGTCGAGCACCGAGATGGGGCTGGGACCTTCTGAGGTTTAACACCGAAAGCCCCACATGCTCAGGAACCCTCAGCCCTGGGCTATTCAAGGACATCCTCTGTGCCCTCCTGGGCTCTGAAAGCAGCCGTTCCTTCCCCTTTTCAACGAGGCCTCGTCACCCTGTCTGCTGGCACTGGAGAGGAGTGGGTTAAGGACTGTCAGTTTCCCACTGAGGGCCCGGCAGAGGCTGCACCCTCTTAGTTTCTGGACGTCAATTAAGAAGGTGGTGAGAACACCATCTGTATTTATAACCCTCCTGCCCCAGGGACCAAGAAGGGCTTTTTAAAGAGGCGAGTCACAGAAAAGAAACTGTGTGACCGTAGGAGGCCTTCCTGCTGAGAAAAGCTGAGCTTCCCAGAGCACCGCCTGCCACAGACGGGCTCCAGGGAGCTGAGTTTCTCTGCGTGGCCTGTTGGCCCTGTGCTCAGCCACGTGGCACCTCTGAGGGCCTGCTCCATTCCTTGCGTTGTCCCATGCACAGAGCACAGCCATTGTCACACGAGTAGGGGCAAAAAGGGCCTGGCATCTGGCCACGGCAGACCTGCCTTCCAAGTCTACCACCCACTCACCGTGTGTCTTTAGGGAGGCCCCAAAACTGTCCCCCACAGTCCCACCTCAGACACCCTTCCAGGTGGCTGAGAGGTGAATGCAATAGTCTCTGATTAAAAGAGCCCTGCAAACAGCCCTGGCTGTTTTTTTCTAAAATTCCATCTGCATTGTGTGTGTAGGCAAGGAAGACTTTCTTCCGCCGGGGGCCCAAGGAATGGGTGCCGGGCCACAAGAGCTGCTTTGTGTGTGAAGGACTCCCATGGCGGTGTTAACCTTGACTTCCCGCTTGTTAGGTGGATGGGCTCCTCTTCTACCACAAGCAGACCCACTACAGCCCGGGCAGCACTCCTCTGGTGGGCTGGCTGCGCCCCTACATGGTGTCTGATGTTCTCGGCGTAGCTGTGCCCACTGGCCCACTGATCACCAAGCCAGAGTACGCGGAGCACCAGCTCCAACAGATCATGGAGCACAAGAGGAGCCAGACGGACTCGCAGGAGAGCCTCGCACGCAAGGCCTCAGCGAACGGACTCTATGAGCTGGAGCACCTGTCCACCCCCAGAGGGCTGAGGAGCCCTCCCCAGAGCCCGGAGCACCCTGGGAGCCTCATGGACAACTAGAGAGAGCAGTCACCCGTGGGAGTCATGGAATAGTGCCCGACCCCAGAAGGAAGCTGGGAGGGAGGGCAGTTGGTGACTTCGTTTTAGGGTGACTTTTCCAAAGAAACTCCAGCTGTAAACCAGCTGACACGCCCCTCCCCCCATCGGAAATTCCGTTCACATGGTTCGCGGATTGCTTCCCAGCAGGCTGTGCAGATCAGGTTGAGTAGCTTTACGCACCCCAGATCCCCCGTGTAAATATACAGTTCTGCAGAAAAAGAAAAAAAAAAAGGACAGCACAAATAAATGAGCTGGAAAACAGAAAAACAATAGAAAAATATACAAAGCAAGAAGTTAATTCTTCGAAAGGATCAACAAAATTGACAAACTGCTAGCAAACTTAAGGGAAAACGAAGGGATATGAAAATATCTAGAATTAGAGGTGAAATAGGTGGCATCACAACATATCCAAATGAAACAGAAAGAATAATAACACATAGTATGCAAGATTGTATTCCAACAAGTTCAATAAGCTAGATGACATGGACAAATACCTAGAAATACACCTGCTTCCTGACATTCGGAAAAAAAATAATGTAGTATACCACATAAACAAGATAAAGAATGAAAACCACATGATCATATCAATGCTGCAGAAAATGCATTTAAAAACACGTAATACCTATTCCTAATAAATCCACTTAATAAGAGAGAAATAGAAGGAAAATTCCTCAACATAATAAAGGCTATATATGAAAAACCAACAGCCAATATCACACTCAATAGAGAAAAGCTGAAAACATTCCCACTGAAAGTGGAAACCCAACAAGGATGTCCCTTCTTGCCCCTCTTATTCAACATTGTATTGGAAATCCTAGCCAGAACCATAAGACAACAACAGGAAATTAAGGGAGTACAATTGGGCAAAGAAGAATAAAAACTTGCAGATTTTAGATAGATAGAGATAGATAGATAGATAGATAGATAGATAGATAGATAGATAGATAGATAGACAGACAGATATCCCCAAGGCCTCCATAAGAGGATTGTTGCAAATAATTGATGCATTTAGTAAAGTGTCAGAACACAAGATTAACAAGCATGAATCAGCTAGACTCCTATAGACTAGTGACGAGAGTTTCTGGAAAATACATCAAGAAACCAATACCATCCATTCACAATAGCCACATAAAAGTTAAAATACCTAGGAATAAACCTAGCCAAAGAAACAAAAGACTTGAACAAAGAAAACTACAGAACATTATTACAAGAAACCAAGAGAGGCCTACACAAATGGAAAAATATCACATGTTGATGGAAAGGAAGGCTCAATATCATGAAAATGTCGATATTACCTAAAGCAATCTACAAATGCAATGCAATCCAAATCCTAATATCATTCTTTAAAGAAATGGAAAAATTAATTACAAACTTCATATAAAGAGGGAAGAAGCCCAGGATAAGCAAAGAACTTCTCAAAAAGAACAAAGTAGGTGGTCTTGTACTACCTGACCTCAAAACCTACTGCACAGCCACAAGTGTCAAACAGCCTGGTACTGGTATAATGATAGGCACATTGACCAATGGAACAGGACAGAAAGCCCAGAAATAAACGCATCTACCTACAGAAAACTGATTTTCAACGAAAGCCTAGTAAGCATTAAATGGAAGGGTATGCCCTCTCAGTAAATGGTGCTCAATAAATGGAAAAAACTGCATAAGGACCCGCAGAAAAACGAGACCCCTACTGCACCCTCCGCACAAAAACAAACTCAAGGTGCATCACAGGCCTAAATGTAAAATCCAAAGCTATCAGGATCATCAACAAGAAAAATGGGACAAATCTAAGAGCCCTAGTGCAGGCCATACCCAGGTGCCAGATGTAACAAAGGAAGCATGCACAGTGAAAGACAAACTAGATGAATGGGGCCTAAAAACACAATGCTGTGTGCATCAAAAGATTTCCTCAAAAGAGTAAAAAGAAAGCCCACACATTTGGAAAAGATATTTAGCAATGACATCATGATAAAGGACTAATTATGAAAATCTACAGAATACTGCAAGCCTACAGCAAGAAAACAAAAAATAACCCTCTCAAAAGTCGGACAAAGGATCTGAATAGACAATTTACCGAGAATGACACCAAAATGACTAAGAAGCACACGAGAAGATGCTCTGTTGACTAATCATGTGGGGAATGCAGGTCAGAACAACAGTGAGCTATCATCTAACACCCAGAACCATAGAGCAGTTTTAAAAGGCAGGGAACAAAAAATGCTAGAGAGGGCATGGGGAGATTGAAACCCTTATTTTACACTGCTGGTATGGTTGTAAATATATACAGCAACTGTGGAAAGCAATCTGGCAATTCCTAAAACAGATGGCCATAGAAATACCATATGACCCAGCAATTCCATAGCTGGGCATATACCCCAAGGAAATAAGAAACAGATCACAGATGTATGCTCTCCCCTGTTCACTGCAGCACAGTTCACAAATAGCCCAAATCCTTATCAGTAGAAGAATGGATTTTAAATACTTTGGTATATAGAAGCAATGGAATACTACACATCCCTGAAAGAAACAGTGAAGAAACCATAAACCACCTCCTGACAAGGAGGATCTGGAAACCATTGCTGAGATAAGTTAACCGCAAAAGCACAAATACTGTATCTTGTAGAGATGAGCACCAGGTTGGGCTCAGGCTCAGGCATGTAGGCAACACAGTGGGATAACCAGAGGGCCAGGCAGCCTGGCTGGTGCCAATGAACCAGGCACCAGCCTCTCTATGTGTGTATCTTCAAGCTCACTCTGCCAGAAGGGTCCTCGTGGCAGCTGGGGCCAGATTTTCAAGAAGGGGGCGGGGAGAATGAGTACTTAGTGGCTGCCATGCAGTTATAATGAGGACGCCCCGGATTGGCAGATATATTCAAGTGATGAGGGACACTGATGGGAAGTCAAGTCAGGAGGTGGGAAAGGGAACATACGCATGGGAGGAGACAAGTACATGTCTGAGAATAGAAAAGCTTGGAGGACCAACTTCCTGCTGGGAAAAAAGAGAGACGAACAGTACTGTTGAGGACCCTAAGAGAAGAGTATGCCTGGTAAGAGTACCAAATAAGCTACATGGGACTTAGTTTCTCTACACCCCCGGGACCCAGCCACGTGCCACAGAATGTTGGGTAATTGAATCCTGGACCTTCAAGGTGCACACCACGTTCCAAAGGCTATACCAGAGGGATCCAATGTGGAAACCCTGCTAGGTGAACTTACACTCTACCTCAAACACACCTGTAACCTGAGGACTTACAATTGAAATTATATGCTGTTTGAAGAAGCAGAAAACAACTATACCAAGAGTATTGGAGCAACTGTCAGTAACGGAGTAACACTGACTTATCACTTAATCCCCTACTTACTGTATTAAAATAAGAGGGGGTACCCCCCCCACACACAAAAAAAAAAACGGAATTTTTTTCAAAGCTATGTATTTAAATTTTTTTTTTTTTAACAAAACAACCTTATAACCTTCAGAGTACTCTCCGTTATACTTAATATATAAGTGAAATCTGAGATTCCATTCCTGGAAACGTTTTTCAACCTCATCTGTTTGGATGGCTAACTGCACCTCCCTAATTTTTTCTTCTCCTCCTCTACGTCATCAAATCGCTGTCCTTTCATGTCCCTCTGCATGCACACAGAGGTCAGGTGAGTACAGTGTGTGGGGCAAGGGAGGCATGCTCTTTTTTTGCCAAAAACTGGCACACTGGGATGGCTGTATGAGCAGGTGCATTATCATGCTAGCAAAACTAGTCCCCTATCTGCCCCAAATCAGGCCTTTTTTGTTGCATTCTGTTATGCAATATTTTCAGAACATCTAAATAGAATGCTAAATTAATAGTATGACCTCGTAGAACAAACTCCAAATGCACCAAGAGTTAACATTTTCATCCATTCGGGAAGTTGACAGGCATCCAGAATGAGATTTGTCATCAACTGACATTTCACCTTATTTGAAGCAAGAAAACCACTCATACACTTGAGTTTTTCCCATAGCGCCATCCTTGTCAGCTGTGTTCAACATCACAACAGTTTCTGTGGCATTTTTTCTGAGCAAGAAACAAAATTTCACAGCTACACACTGTTCTCTCAAGTTGGCCATCATAAAAAAACGAGGTTTGAACAAAACAGCTTTTACCAAAAAAAAAATCACTGTGACCAGAAAGAACCCTCCCAGGCAACACTACTGGGTGCACTAACTCAGAGTGAGTTGCTGGATGCCTGCCTAGAGGGGAAAATGCGTACGACAAAATCTATGCTCCACCCAGCGCAATGTTTTTTGGAGGAGGTATCCCCTCGTATGTTTTATTCTGGCCAACCTGTGATTGACATTGACAGTAAGTTTTGCCTGACAACAAACTCCCATTGTTTGTATAAATAGAGTCCAATCACGTAAGGGTTTATTATGCACAAGTAAATAATCCAGGCATTATGACATGTAGTTACCCTACACTTGTTAAACCCCCCTCTCTCAACAGTGTTTTAAAAATTAGTACCATAGGCTAATCAATAACATGATAAACAGAAGGTCCTGATGATCTAGGGAAATGATCATTAAAATTCTCTGCCATATATTAGCAAGTATATCTCTAAGGTGAGCCAGAAGCAGATTGAAAAAACACAGATGCAGGAGTGAGTTTGGGGCTCACATTTAATCCCAATTCCAATTCAAGAACAATTAGTTCTTATGACGTGACTTGGCTTGATACTCACCCTCAGGGAAGAAACACAGAAGATAAGGGTACTAGAGCAGAGTGTGGTAAAGAATTAGATAATGCTTGACTATCAGATAGAATATCATCTGGGGTCTTAAAGGGTTGTTTCCAAACAAGCAGCCATCTCTAAATGAGATGTCAACTAAGCCCACATGGGAGAAGCACACCAATATCCATGCTTCAAGGATTGTAAATTATATAATCCAAATCCAAAGGAGGGAATAGTATCAGAGCTTCAATTGTGAGATTCTGATTTGCAGAAGGCTATGGATGACAGT